CCCCTTCAGCTGGGAGTGGGGGGCAGAGAGCACGAGCACTTTGCATTGAGAATCACCTCCCTCCAATGGGACCGGACGTGGTCATTGAGCCTCTCAGTTTCCTCATCTGTAAAATGGGAACAACCCCTCTCTCACAGAGGACTACAGTCATTAAACGACACAAGATATCCAAAGCATCTGGCATGACGCCTGGCACCTTTTCTTCCTTCCTTTTGGGAAATGAATTCTCTAGTACTACAGAGTAGGCTTGCCAGGGTACTCTCAAAACTCATCCAGGCTTTGGGACTTGAAAGGGCCCCAAACGATGATTTACATATATACGCACAGTCTGTTCCCGGTCCAACTTCCACAAATTCTTTAGGTCCTATTAGGCACCTGCTGCGTGCAGGCGCTGTGGTAGGATGATGCCTGCTTGCTGGTAAGTAGCTCATCCTGTCTAACCTCCAATGTCACCCCTCATCGGGGGATTCAGGACCAGGAAAGGCAGGTCTGCCCTGACACCTGCCCCGTCCTGCTCCCCACATGAGTGACCGTCAGGCCTCTCCAGCCTCCTAGGCCAAGGGCAACTCCTGCCACCTCTGCAGCCAGGAGAGCACGGGGGCAGCCTGGTCCCACCTTCAACCTCCTTAACCAGGGGGCACGTTTCCTATTCCTTAGGAGCTAGAAGACACCTTAAAACCACTTCACCCCATTTGCCAAATTCCATCCACATTCTTTCCTCCAACTCCTCTGGTAAAGGGGAACTGCCTCTCCAGGCAAGTCATTTCTTTCTTTTTTAAAAAAAAATTTTTTTTTGGACATTTATTTATTTTTGAGAGACAGAGCACTAGCAGGAGAGGGGCAGAGAAAGAGGGAGACACAGAATCCGAAGCAGGCTCCAGGCCCCAAGCTGTCAGCACAGAGCCCGATGCGGGGCTCGAACTCACAAACTGCGAGATCATGACCTGAGCCGAAGTCTGACGCTTAACCGACTGAGCCGCACAGGCAACCCCACCAGAGTCATTTCTGACTATAAACTACCTTCAGGAGGAAGCCCTGGGCACCAAGAAGTTCAGAGCCAATAGGTGCCAATAGGTGAAGTTCAGAGCCAACAGGGCAGGCCCAGGACCCTTGAGGCCAAAGCCCTGGGATCCCTGCTCCCACATCTAAGGGAACCATGCCTCCTTCTTCCTGCAGAAGTGACTAGAAGTGACTTCCTGCAGAGGCAGGACTAGAGGACCAGAAAACAGAGCTGCTGTAGGGGCCTGCTCTATTCTCCAGGGGGACGGGAGGCTGAAGGGGGCGGAGCAGGGGAGAGGCGGGGCTTTCCTGCGAAAGTGGGTCAAGATGGCCCCGGATTTGGGTAAGCTGGGCCTGCAAGGCTCAGAAGCCGCAGCTGTGGGCAAGGAGGAGGGGGGACCAGCTCTGAAGGCTGGGGTCAAGTAGGGAAAGGACTGGGATTGGGCAGAGGAACAAGGGTACGGCCTCTCTCCCAAGAAACCGGTGGCACCGACACCAACAGAGAAGCGGGGAAGGGGGGAAGCCGTCAGGCTCTGCAGGCCCGGCACCGCCCCCTGGAGGACAATTCGCTGTGGCTGCAGGTAGGGCTCTGAATGGACTCGAGGGAGGCGCAGCCCCGCACACATCGGGATGCAGCCCCACACTCCCGCCACGCTGATCCCAGCCCCAGGCAGGTCCTTAAACAGACTTCCTTCTTAGCTCCACTTGGCAGCTGGAAGCTCAGAGCCGACCGCATGCGAGTCTGACGAGGGAGGGAGAAGGAGGCCCGGCGAGGCCCGGCACACGTGCGGGAGGCTGCTGTGTGAAGTGCCATTGTGTGCCCGGTGTGAGCGCATGCCTCCCTCTCCGTGGCTGTTTGTGCCCAGTGTGCGGGCCAGCCAGTCATTCCGTGGCATCTAACGGACAAATAACCAGCCCCGTACACCCCCCCGACACAAAACTGGTCATTTATTCGTGTTGTTAGGAGGCAAAAAAATGTACAGTTACAAGAATCATTTTCCAAACAGAGGTTAAATATGAGCTGAAAAGTGTAAAAAAGGAAGAGGAACATCACTTTACAAATCATTAAATTAAACACATAAACCAACAGAAAACAAAACCCAAAGAACCAACCCCCCATGCTGAGTTCTCTCCTTGTGCAACTCTGCAAAATGAGAACAGAAAATGAGGTGGCCCATGGAGTTGGGGGCCCCAGGAAGGGGCAGGAGCTGGGAGCCAGGAACGGGCAGGAGGGGCTGCTGGGGCGCCCCGGGCGCTGGCCTCCTGCCCTTTCCGCCTGGTGCTCTCTGGCACCTGGTTGTGCCTGGTGGCCCTACTGAGGCTAGGGGGGCAGACAGGGGCACCTCCGGAGGTGGCAGTCAGCCTGTGACGTTCAAGCACTACGGGGACAAGCCAGATCGGGAAGTGGAAATGAACGCGACATGGGGATGGCCGCCAGTGCCCTGGCTGGTACCTGCCCCCCAGGTGCCAGCCTTCACTTTCCTAATCTGAACCTGCCCCAAGCCCACCCCGCATCTCTTTCCTTCTTTCCAGACCGCCCCCCTCCCGGGTCCTGACGGGCCCCTGCAGCATCAAATGGTTGATTTTAGTCTTTGCTTAAATTAAAAAATTAAAATATATATACATATATATACTGTACACACAGGACAACAACAGAAGAGTGTTGAAAAGGGCAGTGTAGGAGTGGGGCACGGGAGAGAGGAGGGCAGGGGCTATGGGGCCAGGGCTGTTAAGGGGCCGGAAGCAGGGCCGGCAGAGGGCAGAGGGAAGGGGAAGGGCGAGAGGTTAGGGGGCCAGAATGGGAGCGGTTTATTTTACAATAAAATCAGGAGTTCAAACCTCAGCAGAACAGGACTCTGGGATCCCCAGAGGGTCCCTCCCCACGCTGAGTGAGGAGGGACGGGCTTAGGGGGGACGGCAGGGTGGGCGGGGAGCTCGGCTTCGGGTTTGGATGACAGCAGGTCCCTGGTCCGAGGGGGAAGGACCGCAGTCTCAGCTTCTCCGTGACTTTGAGTGTTGAATAAGCCACTGTAGGGTGATATCTGGGTGGGGGACGACAGAGAGGTTTATACGCCTTCTAGTTTGTGCTGGGCCGACGGGGGAGGTGGAACAAACACCTTAGGGAGTGGCCTAAGCCCAGGGCTTCCGAAACTGCAACTGGGGATCAACTCTAAGGGCAGCAAAAGCCCAGAGCCATCGAGCTCCAAACAGCCCCACATGAGTGGCGGGGGGCATCTGGGTGGCGTGAAGGATGGAGCCATGGGACGTCACAGCCAGAAGGGGCCTGGGAATCGCCTGATCTAACCCTGTGACTGTTACAGTGGGGGAAGCAAGGCCCCAGGAAGGGAGCGATTTGCCTAAGATCACACAACCAGTAGAGGGCAGAGCCGGGTGATGCTCAGATTCTGAGCTTCCCCGATGCCTGTCCTACCCCAGGACAACCATAGAGCTTTGGGCTTCAAGGAAGGTTGTGGAGTGAAAGCCTTTGAGAGTCACTGCCCCAGAACACCCAGAAGTGCCTCTCCGCTCCTCCCCTTGTCCCGGGCTCTTCCCAGAATGCCAGCAACTCCCCCATACCCACGCGCACCAATGTTGTCCTTTTCTTTGCAGGAAATGGAGTAGCAGCAGATCTCTCGGTCCTGGATGGCAGAAAGATTCCTGGGGGGAAACCAGAGTAGAACCTGCTGAGGCTAGGACTGCCCAGGGGGCCTGGGGCTGGGGGCGCCAGAGTCCTTTGCTTGCTCAGGAGCTACAATGGGGAGGGCGAGGCTCCGGGAAAGGTACGCTCTGCTGCCACCATGTGGCGAATACTGAGAGCAGCAGGAAGCCGTCTCCCTCTCGGTGGCCTGGGAAATCGGGGGAGCAGGGAGGAAGGACAGAGAAGAGTAGCCAAACTCACATTTTCTCAATCAGCTCCTTCTCATCCAGTGCTCCTGGAAGGTCTCGCTTGTTACCCAGGACTAAGACCTACAGAGGAGGACAAAGACTAGGTCCAGGGCTGCCGGGCCAGGCCGTCTGTTTCCTCTCCCCACTTCAACCGTGCCTGGCCTTCACCTGCCTCAGGCCAGGCCCCCAGTGACTTCCCAGCGGGCTCCCTCCCCCCCCCCCCC